AGCGGGGAGCAGGGAGGTGGAGCAACGAATTCATGCAACAACGCGCGATACACGTGACATGCAACACAGGGTACACCACACAGATTGCACCGCATAGCTCAGACAACATAGCTCACCTCACTTTGCTCACACCACATGGCTCAGACGAAATAGCTTACACAACATAGCTTGCACCACATAGCTTACGCCACATAGCTCACACCGCACGGCGGATTCCACCTCCACAGTGCAGCAACCTCCTGGTTGGGGTTCGCGCTGGATCACACTTTTTTGGCTCTTTGTAACTTTCGGCCTCCAGGGGGCCGTGCCGGGTCCCCGGGGCTATCGGCGATCGATCGGGGGTGGAGAGCCGAGAGCCTGTCTTTTTCTAGACCCTGTCAAGTTTACTTGCATGGACGGGGGGGGTGCTCAACCTGAGACAGGCCGCAAACGACTTGGCGTGCGGAACTCACGCAGGTCGAGAGGCACCTGCACGCTCGTGTTCGATTGACGAGGGGCGAGGGGGCGGGGCGAAGGTCATGCAAGTAAGCTTGCCCGAATATCAAGAAAAACAGGCTCCGGCAAGGACGACGTCCAGAAGCCAGCCGTCGCAATGTTATGACGCCTGCTGGGTTGCGCGTGCCCGGCGACACCCTCACCGAGAAAAGGGCGGCAGGAGAAGCGGGCGGGAGGGGGGGGGGGCGAGGGCGAATGCTGGCGCCCGAGGCACGTACACGGTCGAGGATGACGAGGGGGGGGGGGGGCAGAGGACGTGTGCTCCAAGAATAAGCGGGGGCCAGGACATCTGGGAGATATCATGGCCCCAGCCACGACATTCCCCCCCCACCCCACCCCGCCTAGTGGATGGGTCCCGAGACGGTGTGCTGACAGGCAGCGCGGTGACCTCGAGATCCCCCAACAGACCTACCTCATCGCAGGGTCCGTCACCGCGCGATTTGGGGACCCTGGAGGCCCCAACCGCCCGAGACACCCTCGGAGAACGACCTACGTTCCACGACCGACCTCACCTCGAATCCCTACGGACTCACCACGCGGTGTGGTCACCGCACCGTGTGGGGCCCCCAAACTAAACCTCACCATCCTCTTCTTGCCATCGCTCGGACGTCCACGTCCCGTGCATTTTTCGGTCTCGTGCGTGTTTTTTTCGCTCGATGGTCCAGGATGGTCCCCGATGGTTCTCGCCGAGAGAAACTGCACACGTCCGAGCGATGCCAAGTCTTGGGCGCACCCGAGACACCCGGGACGACGACGAGCCCCCCCTCCCCTCCCCCCAAGAAGGCCCCCTCCCCTCCGGGTTCTCGAGCAACGACGCGGAGCTGCCCCCCTGCTGCGGCGCCGCGCAGTCCAGGAACCCAGAGCTCCACCTTCCGCGGGTGCGGGGTGGGGTTCCCTCCTCCTCCTCCTCCTCCTCCTCCTCCTCCTCCTCCTCCTCCTCCTCCTCCTCCTCCTCCTCCTCCTCCTCCCTGTTCGTAACCAAGTTGCTCGAGCGTGGGATCGCCTCGGGAGAGAGGACCTCCGAGGGCCTCAGGACTTGGCACGAGACGTGGTGCGAGCTCATTCCCAAGGATCTCCACTTAGCCTCTGATGCTCCTTCACGCGATGGAGTGGTTCGACCAGGACCAGAGGAATGTGCACATCATGCTGAGGAATGTGCCGAGTCAGAACGCACTGACAGAATCTAGAGAACAACAGATGCCAACGTTCCTCGTTTCCTTCTCGTCCCTCGTCCCTTCGTCCCTCATCCCTCCTTGACGGATCCTTCGCCCCTCATCCCTCCTTGCCTCCCTAGTAGCTCGTCGCCTGGTCATCCTTCCCCCTCGTCCCTCGTCCCTCGTCCCTCAGGCCTTCTCCTTCTCCTTCTCCTGCTCCTGCTCCTGCTCCTGCTCCTGCTCCTGCTCCTGCTCCTGCTCCTCCTCCTCCTCCTCCTCCTCCTCCTCCTCCTCCTCCTCCTCCTCCCCCTGGTCCTCCCCCCCTTCTTTCAACCATTACTCTCGGGCAAGGGGGTCCGAATTGTGACGGCTAACTTGGGAAAGCCGATGCCGTCACAAGCAATACAAACAGGTGGAGCACAACGTCATCGACGACAGCGCTTGGACTGTGCCCTACTTCACGGCGCCCTCGTCTCTCTCCCCTCTCTGCGCCCTCCTGCCCCTCCGCCCCGCCATCAAGAATGCTACGTCCGGTTTACCGTCCACGGCGAACTCCAGACGGCCGCCGGAGACAGCCACCCGTTAACGTGAACCTACTTCGTGAGCGGCCCAGCAAAAGTGAAGGACGAGGCGGAGCCCAACGTGAGCAGCTACCACAGCTGTGACCAAGCACTGACATCGGTGAAGAAGGAGACACTCGTCATCAGCTACAATGCTAAGGAGGGTTCGGGCGCAAAGGCAGGCAGTACCATGAACTACAACGCTGGGATCGGCTCATGCGAGAACGCAATCAGTGGCGGCAAGAGATGCCAACGCGAGAAGGCAATCGGTGGCAGCAGGGTCCGTCAATACGAGAAGCCATGCAATGACAACAACAATTGCCAGTTCGAGCAGATAAGCAGTGGCAATTGAATTGTCGGTACCAGCATGTCAAGCATGAGTGTGGCATGGCCAACTTCGAAACTAGGGTCAACTGGTGAGAGAAGATTGGCAGTGGTAGCGGTAGCAAGGAGTGCCAATGTACGAAATCAAACAACGACAACAACAACCGTCCGTGCAAGGTAGCATGCGGCGTGCAGTGGCAGCACTGGTTAGCCGTGTCAGTGTGACGCAGCAGGCGGTGGCAGCAGGGCTTGGAACTCAAAGGCAACGCATGGCAACATTATCGGCTACAAAGCTGGGATCAGCTCGTGTGAGGACGCAGGCAGTAGCAACATCGGTGGCCAGTGCTAGACAGAAGGCAGAGGCAACAAGGACTGTCAGTACAAGATGGCAGGCAGTGGCAGTAGCGGCTGGCAATGCGAGATGGATGGCGGTGGCAGCAGCGGTAAGGAGGAACGATACGAGCCCAACGTCATCAGCTGCAGCGCTGGGCACGTCGTCTGTGAGAGCGGCGGGCAGGTGCAGCAGACGTGGTCAGCCGCAGCGTTCGGATCAACTCGTGCGACAGACGCTCAGGAGCACCCGCGGCACTCGCAGGAGAGGATTATCAGCTATACTGCAGGAGCCAGCTCGTGCGAGAATCTGGGTAATGGCAGCAGACAGCTGCTGCCGCCTCGAGGGGAACCGTGGGGCAAAGGAATGGGTGTGGGAAGGCAGCGGAGAACAGCCGGGCCCGACGACCCCAACCAGTGCTGGGACCCAGGCTTGCGAGACTACGGGTAGTGGCAGATGTACCGTGCTCCGCGAGTGCTGCGAAGAGTGCAACCGTCGCCACTTCCGAGGGCTGCTGGGGGGGGGCAGCACAGTGGGGTCCCACGCAAACCCAAACGGGACCTGGCCATCCCTGGGTGTGGTCCGAGCGGAGTAGGAGGAAGCGAGCAGCGCAGCGACAACGTCCTCAGCTGTCAATGCCGAGCTCCGCTCGCGCGCGGAATACTAGCAACAAGGGGGGCGCTGGCTTGTACGGCATGGTGGCGAAAGAACCGGGGGTGCGTCGTCAACTACCATTTGATTCGACTCGTTGCTTTATCGCTCAGAGCTGGCCTATGGGCAAGTCGTTCGTCCCTGTTCGAGCTCTAATCGGTTCGCTGGCTCCTGACTAGTCGTAGTGCTAGGTGCTAGCTCCATGAGCGTTCATCCGTATTTGGTCTTTGCGATATCATCGAATTGTATTCCCTGTGTCGATCCTCCCCGCCTTCCTGTACCATCAGACGTGTCGACAGGGCAGATCGGGCATGTCATCTGAAGCTTTTTCACCATATACCTTGATATGTGAACCAGCTGCAAAAGATCGGGGGCGGTACCTTTCCCACATTGGACTCTCGCGAAAGAGCCGCGGCCATGCATCCTGAACTGTGGCATGCGTTGCAGCGGTAGAGGCGGCACCTTTCCCAACGCTTGGCCCTCGCGCCGCACGCACTTGTCTTAACAACCTGCAGCGCTCACAATCGTGGTGGGCGGTACCTTTTCCAAAAAGGGGCGCTCGACTCAGTGCCGCGCGCACTCGTCTTCAAGGCTGCGTGGAGGGTGTTCCATGTTCAAGCGAGGGCCCCCGCCCCAGCGCCACGCGTAATGATTCGTCTGCATAAGCGATACAGCAGTTATTTCTAGGGATGGAAGACGGTTCCATCTCGAACTTGGGACTCTCGCTTGATACCCGAAACGGGGAAGCAAGGGACCTGAACACATGTACCAGCTGCGGATGGAGGGCTGCCCCTGTTCAAAAAAGGAGCTCTGGCTCAATAGTTCCTCACGTTTAACGACCAGGCACGCAAGCTTGTGCAGCTGTTGCACGGGTGGGCGGCGGCTCTTTTTCGACACTGGTCTCTCGCTGGACACCTCGCTTAACTGTATGATCCTATCTTTTTGCAGTCTTCATCATGTGTCAGGAAGATGCATGGCAGTTCGTTTCCCAAAGGGGCTCTCGCCTCAATGAATTGACCTGCGCGGAGGCGACTTGGGACGGGAGGGCGTATTGCAGCATCGTCGACGCATCCTGGGCTTGCTTTAGCCATCGTCGCACTCCTCATCATCCCCCTTTCCCTTCTCCTCCTACCCCTCTTCTTCCACCTCCCTCCAGCAAGCCCCCACCTCTTTCCTCTCACTTCCTCATCCTTCCTCATTCATCCCCCAACCTCGTTCCCCCGCCCCTCCCCCCGCCTCCTGCTCCTGCCGGCTTCCTCATTCCCCTTCAAACGTCCTCCTTCCTCTCTCCTTCCTCTCTCCTTCCTCCTCCTCTCAAGCACACGTGGCTCGAGGGCTTCCGTTGTGGCTTTGGTTCCATCGCAAGTCCTCAGTCGCTCGCTCCTCGATGCCTCACCGTGGCGCTCGAGTGGCACCCGCGACGCCCGGGCCAGCGAGTCCAGGCTAGGCGGGTTGGCCAAATCGAAGAGAACAGGGTGAACCGGTATGAGCCGGTGGCTGCTATGCTGGACTGTCCTCGTCGCGCTGGACGTCGAAGGTGACATGCTCGGCAACCACGCGATCGTCGTCACGGACTCGCGCTGCTGCAGTTACGGAGGCTGCCTCAGCGACGACTGGTACATTGGGTGCATGGCGAGCGAGGCACTGTGCTGCATCGAGGTGGAGTTTTGCTGCAAGTCGCTCTGCTACGTCTGCTGCACAATCCGCAACGACTCGCCCACCGCGTACTTCGCGTCGCAGGCCCAGGTTTGCTGCAATTTCGGCGTGGGCGCTATCTCGTGCGACGAGGAAATGTCTCACATCTTCGGCACGTGCGACATCTTCTGCTATCCTGTGGCCTTTTGGTTGCTGTTTTTGGGCTTCGACCCTATCTTCCACCGTGCTGGGTTCGGCGCGTGCGAGAAGGGCGACATGGTCTATACAACACGCGGTCGCATCGGAGCGTCGTCACTTACCATGCTGGTATGGGCTACCGTGCCAGGCATCGAGCCGCAGGCCCAGGCGGGCTGCAGGGTTGGCGCGTCCGCCATCCCGTGCGGAGTAATGCCATGCAAGTTCAGCACGTGCGGTTTCATCTGCTATCCTAGAGCCTGATTGGTTGCTGTCCTTGAGCCCTGACCTCACCTCATATTGTGCTGGTATCGGCGCGTGCGAGAAGGGCGAGCAGTTTTTACAGCACGGAGTCCCATCGGAGCATTTTCACTTATCATGCTGGAATGGGCGAGCGTATCCGTTTCCGAACTTGTTGAGGACTCAACATCATATTGGTTCAAGCCGTTCCGCAAGTGCCGAGTTCAGTTGTCAAATGGTCAATTTTCCCCGCTCGTCGTGCAGAGTGTCTCGATGAGCATGCAGGTATGGGACTTCAGCTGTCGGCGGTACTTCCTTTGGCCGGCTGGGGCGAGGTGGTTTGGGGGCGAGGCGAGCTCATTGATCGGTTTGAGTTAGCCCAGTGATCAACAGTGTCGCCGTGTCGGCACAGCTAGGGCCTCATAGAGTCAAGCTCACTTCTGCTTAGCCAATGGTTATGTCATTGTGGAGTCGTTTCGGCCAGTTGGTTCCAAACCTATTTTTCATATTGGGTTGGCTTGGTAGTTTCTGTGGTATTGCTATTAAGGTCGTGTGCGGGTCGGCTTCTTCGACTGGCGATACTCATCAGCTCCCTGCTGGCTCCTGCCCTTCGTCTTCTGGTTCGTCTACTTCAATCTCGAGCTCATGGGGCGGCTTGTGCATCATTTAGGCTACGCCTTGGCAGAATCCCTCGAATTCCTCTCTCGTTCCTCCCCTCCTTCCTCCTCCTTCTCCTGCTCCTCCTCGTCCTCTTCCATTCTTCCCCCCCCCCCCCGTCCACGCATCCTGCTGCTGCTCCTCCCTCCTGCCGTGTTCCTCCATGGACTCCATCCTTCCCCCGCCTCCGTCATGCGAGGCCCGCTCGGGATCCGGCCGACACTCGATCAGACCCCGGGCACGGCTTACTGCTTCTCGGCCCCTTCTCCCTCCTCCTCGCCATCCCTCCTGCAGAAGTTATCCACCTCTATACCTCGCCCTCCCTCTCCCCTCCTCGTCCTCCTCCGCCCCCTGCCCCATGCTGCTCCCCCTCCCCTCCCTCTTCTTTCTCCCTCTGCTCCTGTCCTCCTCCCTGCTCGCTCCCTCCCCCAAGACATCCAGTGCCTCCACTTGTTCGATGCGTGGCCCCTGACCTCTCGGCTCCCTCCCGGGGCCACTTTTGGAGAGGCGGAGGAGGGAGCGCGACCGCAGAGCTGCTCACCCGACTCGGCCTCGACCGCTCTGCGTGGCGACACCAGCGGTCGCCAAGCACACTGGGAGCACCGTGCGAGCCGACTTGCGATAGGCTCAAGCCCTTCCAGGGGGGCCAGTCTCCCGCGCCCTCTTCTGGTGGGCCCGGCCCGAAGCCCAAAACTGGCCTCCCATAGACGCCAAAAACGGCGGCAAACCGCCGGCCGCCTCGCCTGCCTTCTGTCGAGGCGCCGGATGCCTGGGTTCTCTCTCTCTCTCCCTCCCCCTCCTCCTCCTCCTCCTCTCCTCCTCTCCTCCACCTCCTCCTCCTCCTCCCCCTCCTCCTCCTCCTCCTCCTCCTACTCTTCCTCCTCCCCTCCTCCTCCTCCTCCTCCTCCTCCTCCTCCTCTTCCTCCTCTCCTCCTCCTCCTCCTCCTCCTCCTGCTCCTGCCTCCTCCTCCACCACCCTCCCCCTCTCCTCCTCCCCCTCCTCCTCCTCCTCCTCCTCCTCTCTCCTCCTCTCTCCCTCTCCTCCTCTTCCTCCTCCCTCCTCCTCCTCCTCCTCCTCCTCCTCCACTTCACCCCTCCTCCTCCTCCTCCTCCTTTCCTCCTCCTCCTCCTCCTCCTCCTCCTCCTCCTCCTCCTCCTCCCCTTCCCTTTTCCTCATCCTCCTCCTCCTCTCCTCCTCCTCCTCATCCTCCTCCTTCTCCTCCATCTCCTCCTTCCATTTTCCTCCGCCTCCTCCTTCTCCTCCTTCGCCTCCTTCCCCTTTCCTCCTCCTCCTCCTCCCATCCTTCTCCGCCTCCTCTCCCTCCTTCTCCACCGAAGCTTTCTCGACTCGCTGCACGGAGCCTCTGCCCATCCCTCCCGGACCCCCCGAAGTCCTCCTACAACACGACGTCGACCGCCTGAGGTCTCGACTCGCTCCCCGGGACTAGCTGCTCGTCCTGATGCCTTTCTCTGCTCCCTCGGGTCGGGCGAACGGGGGGGAAAAGCAAAGGGGGGGGTTCGAGAATCAGCTCACGCAGCTGATTTTCCCGGCGCCTCCCGGCGCCGGAGGCGGCTATGTCTTGAGGAGTGGGCCCCTCGGTGAGGCCGACACCAGCTTTGCATGCAGCAGATTTCGTGACCCCCCCTCTCCCAATCCCCCCCCTGTCGTCCGGCCCGACTCGCGGCCCCGAGGCCCGGCCACGCCCCCCCGAGGCCGAGGACAGCGAGACGCCGTCCGCCGTGAGGCCTCTTGCCATGGCTCGAGGCTGGCCATCGCTCGGACGTCCATTCCCTGTGCTTTTTTGGTTTCGTGCGTGGTTTTTTCGCCAAATGATCAAGAACGCTCCTCGATGGCCCTCGCCGAGGGAAAAATACACACGCCCGAGCGATGCCAAGGAGGGGGGGGGACTGGGCTCGGAGCCGCTGCTCGCTCCTCCTTCCTCCCTCCCCCTGGCCATCGCTCGGACGTCCACTTCCCGCGCACTTTTCGGTCTCGTGCGTGTTTTTCTTGCTCGATGGTCCAGGATATGGTCCTCGATGGTTCTCGCCGAGAGAAAATGCACGCGTCCGAGCGATGCCGAGTCCCCGGATCCCGCGTCTCCCGCCAGCCAGCGCAAAGCCTCCGAGCGCCCGCCTCCGAGAATGGTTGGTTGTCCTGCACTGCTGCGACGGCGTGATGGACTGCACCCCGACTGCGACCGAACGAGGCGCGCGTCAGTCAGACGTGCCAGTCACATACCCGCTTCTTCTCCCTGTCTCCCAGCCTCGCTCCTGCCTCCTCCCTCCTCGGGCGCGGCCCAAGCGACCCTTTAGCAAACCATCCCCTTCCGTGACGTCCCCCTCGCCTCTCATACTCCCCTCCGGCTGCACACATACGGTCAAGTTGCCGTACACAGAGTGCACGTCGGGGATTTGAAGTGTACGCTATACGGCCAGCGAATAGAGCGCGCGTCGTAGGATGTGCACTCTACGCGCGGTTGTTCAGCGGTTAGCGTGCACTTCCGATTTCTCACACGCTAAGCACGGCAACTTGACTGCACGTTTTAGGGCGAGGCGAGAGGGGCGTCACGTAAGGGGATGGTTTGCCAGCGGTCGGTTAGGCCGCTCCTGACCCCCCTCCTCTTCTCCTGCTCCCTCCCTCGCCCGGGCGCCGATCCCAGCCATATCTGGCGTCTCGATTTACCGATACGCTACACACGCAAGAGTGACCCTGGGCAAGAGTGACCTTCGGTGCGCGGCTTTTGGCTTGCCGCGGCGGGGAGCCAAACCCGAGCGCGCAAGCTGCTGCTATCGCCTCGCATGCAGCCATCGGGGGACCCCCAATGGGCCCGCACCGAAGGTCACTCCGGCGAAAGGTCACTCTTCCGGGAGGCCGAATCGAGATCGACTCAGGCCCCAGCCTCGGCCACTTCCCCGGGACCGGTCTCGCGACTTTCGTCGACGCTCCCGAGGCCCGGGGAGGGCCCCCGGGGAGGCCGAAAACGGTACAAGAGAAAACCTCAGCCTCGATGTTTGTCGAGACGCCGCATGTCTGGGACCCGCTGCGCGGGGGGGGGGGCTCCAGGGCTCAGGTGCAACGATAGGGGGGGATAGGCATAGGGGGGATGCATCAATCTGGAATCGGCGGTACACTGTCGACAGATCGGCGATGGCGCCCCGATGGTGCATCCGCACCTTCATGGGCGGGGTAGGGCTATCGGACCCCTATCAGCGATCAATGGGCGATTGGGGGTCGACGCATCCCCCCCAATACATCCCCAGACCGAAAGTTTTTTCCTCTTGGGCTAAAAATATGACAACATCAATGGATCCAATTGGATCCCTTTTCAGGTGTGGAAGAGTTTCGTGGATCCTATTTCTGTGTTGCGCGGATCCAATTTCCTGTGTTTGACAAAACGATGGATCCATTTATTTCCCTCAAGAGGAAAATCTTTCGGCCTGCGTAAGCATGCCTATCCCCCCCCCCCATCGTTGACTCCGAAGGGCGCCCCCGGCCTGGCCAGCGTGGAGCCGAGCGCGGCGGACTTCTTCGCCAGCTCCTGCGCGCGCGCGCGCCCGCCGCCCCACCGCCGGGGGGGCGGCCGCGCCCCCGCCCCCGGCCACGAGGAGAACCCCCCCGCCACGGCTCCTCCCTCCCTCTTCCTCCCTCCTCCTTCCTCCTCCTCCTCCTCCTCCTCCTCCTCTTCCTCCTCCTCCTCCTCCTTCGTCGTCGTCCTCCTCCTCCTCCTCCGCCCTCCTCCTCCTCCCCTCCTCCTCCTCCTCCTCCTCCTCCTCCTCTCCTCCTCCTCCTCCTCCTCCTCCTCCCTCCTCCTCCCCACCGCCACGGCTCCGCACGACCGCCCCGGCGATGCGGGCGCGAGGGCCTTCCTGGGCGGAAAGGACCTCAGGCAGGCCTGCGCCAGATCGAGTCGCGAAACCGGATCGGGTCGGGAACGGAGCGGATCGCCGACGCATCGCCCCGCATCGGATGGCCGCGCCCAGCTCCGGTGTGGGCACCGACCTGTGCCAGCCTCGCGCTAGTCCATATCCGGCTGGCCCCCCTCCACGGATCTCCTCTGGGCATCGCGGACAATGCGACCAGCGCTCTACCTCCTCCCTCCCTCTCCTCCCTCCTCCTCCTTCCTCCTCCTCCTCCTCCTCCTCCTCCTCCTCCTCCTCCTCTTCCTCCTCCTCCTCCTCCTCCTCCTCCTCCTCCTCCTCTCCTCCTCCTCCTCATTCGTCGTCGTCCTCCTCCTCCTCCTCCCTCGCTCCCTCCCTCCTACCTCCCCCTCCCTCCTCCTCCCTCCTCCTCCTCCTCCTCCTCCTCCTCCTCCTCCCTCCTGCCTCCTGCCTCCTCCTCCTCCTCCTCCTCCTCCTCCTCCTCCTCCTCCTCCTCATCGTCCTCGTCCTCCCTTCCCTGTCCTCCCCCTCCTCCCCTTTGTCCTCCTCCTCCTCCTCCTCGTCCTTCTTTTTCTCCTCCTGCTTTCCACTCCTGCCTCCAACGCCGCCCCCTCCCTGCTCTCATGCCCTGCTCGCCCTTTCTGGGGTCCTCCCGGGGGGCCGTCGTGGCCTCGGCCGCAGCTCCGAGAACGGGCCTGGACGGCATCTGGGCAGGGGGGCGACCTCGCTCGCAAGCGGGCGGGCCGACCCGGACCCCCGGGCGCCGCGGCAGGAAAGCGGCCCCACTGGCGCCCCGCAGGCACCCGGAGCCCTCAGGCACGCCCCGGGGACCAGCAGCAGAGAGCGGCACGCAGCAAGACGCCGGCGTCCCCTGGGGGAGGAGGCGAGATGGGAGTCTCCAGGGTCCCGCGCCGGGAAGGAATCTGGTTCCGCATCCTGCGTCCTCCTGCGTCCTCCTCCTCCGCCTCCTCCTCCTCCTCTCTGGGTCTCCCCTTGGTCCCCCCTCCTGGGTCCTCCTCCTCCTCCTCCTCTCCGCCGGATCCACCTCCCCCCCCCACCGCCAGTTCCTGCAGTCGAGCTGCTACCGGAAGGAACGCTACATGAGGAGCGGAACCCCATGTAGGCTCCAGACGCGCCTGGGTGCACGAGTCCACGTCCTGACTGTGTGCCCCTCTTCCTCCTCTCCTCCCCCGATTCCACCACTAAAAGTCTCAGAAGCGAGAGGAGAGGGGCGCGACTCGGTGGAGGGTCTGGCTCGAGCTGGTCTGGGAAGGTTCGGGAGGTAGTCTGAGCACGAGGTCCTGGGGAGTCTTCTGACCGGAAGGCGGGGGGGGTAATCATCCTGGCGACGGACCCAACCATGTGCGGATGCGAATGCCGCAGGGCAGGCGGGACGAAAGAAGGGCAGCTCCCTATGGGGCCACGAAGCGTGTGAGGGGTGTCTCGAATCGGGCGCGGGTGCGCCATTCGACTACGAAACGTGTGAGGGGTGTGCCGAAATGGGCGTGGTTGCGCCATGCGGACCCTGCCACTGGGGCCTTCGGTGGAGCTTCCCATGGGGCCACGAAGCGTTTGAAGGGTAGCTGCTGTGGCGCTACACGGACCCTGCCACTGGGGCCTTCGGTGGAGCTCCCTATGGGGCCACGAAACGTGTGCGGGGTGTGCCGAAATGGGTACGGTGGCGCTATGCGGACCCTGCTACTGGGGCCTTCGGTGGAGCTCCCTATGGGTCCACGGAATGTGTGAGGGGTGTGCCAAGATGGCTGCGGTGGCGCCATGCGGACCCTGCCACTGGGACTTCGGTGGAGCTCTCTATGGGGCCACAGAATGTGTGAGGGGTGTGCCGAAAGTGGTGCGGTGGCGCCATGCGGACCCTGTCACTGGGGCCTGCAGTAGAGCTCTCGATGGGGCCACGAACCGTGTGCGCAGGGTGTGCCGAATGGGCGCGGTGGCGCTACGCGGACCCTGCCACTGGGGCCTTCGGTGGAGCTCCCGCTGGGACCACGAAACGTGTGAGGGGTGTGCCGAACTGGACATGGGATGGCTGAGGCAGGAACGGGATTCCGATGGTAATTGTGATGACGATGATGACGTGCGGAGGGCAGAGGCAGGGATGTGAGGAGGGGGAGGAGGAAGGAGTGAGGTTAGAGGAGGGGGGAGGCAAGAGGAAGGGGGCGGGGCGCTGTCTTTTCAAAACGAAGACCCAACACTACAGGATGGTTGGGGAAAACTGGCTCGTCGAAAAATGTGTCACTCATTATTCAATCGCGTCGCTCAGTCCACCGGCCCATCTTGCATCACTGTTACTCTGTTGGCGTGCTCGTGGCGAGCGAGGGGGGGGGAGAAGGAGGAGGATGAGAAGGAGGAGGACGAGAATGAGGAGGAGTAGGAAGAAGGGTGATGGGGGTCTGAACAAAACTGGCTCGTCGAGAAGGTCACGACCCCTCTTGACCCTGAAAGTCGGAATGCTCATCCAGATCCTCCCTCTCGTTCTCCTCCCGCGCTTTCCTTTCCGCTCCTGCCAGCCCTGCGCCCAGGGAGGCGAGGCCTCACTCAGATGCTGGATCCCCTCGAGGGGGGGACACCCCTGGACCCCAAGGGCGAAGGCCGGTTGGATCACCGTGGGTCCGCGCTCCGATGGACCCCGGAGGGAGACAGGAACATTCACGTCGGGCATAACCTCCTACAGGCGGGTGTTGGAAGACAAATGAAAAATAATCAAGCATATCCGAAAGTATCCAAACATACATTCATATATAGATATACTTATATATAAAAAATAATTATAAACGTCTCCTGACTATTTTTACTGTGTTTGAATATTCCTCCTGTAGCGGGACATGCCTGACGTAAAATGGAGGACGGTTGAACGTTTCGCATCTCGCAGGGAGGGCGAGGTCCAGGTGGGTCTGCGCGGTCACACGCTCCGCTGACCTCACGCTCCCAGGGGCACAGGACAAAAGCGTCAGTGGGACGACGGTTGGCAGCACCTAGCGCGTTCGAGATCTACTTGGACCTACGCTAGTCGCCGCTCTGCTGGACCTATCCTCCATCTTCCATCCTCCTCCTCCTCCTCCATTCACTCCATCCTTCTCCATCCGCCGCCTCCATCCTCCTCCATCCTCCATTCTCCATCATTATCCTCCTGCTCCGTCCTCCGTCCCCAATCGTTCTCCTCTGAGGGAGGGGGGTAGGGGCAAACCGACACCGCTACTTCCCCTCCCAGGGCGCATCCTGACCAGGATCTCGAGGCGCATCCAGCCATGGCGTCAAGGACCCATCAGGAGGCCCAAAAGGGCGAAAACGAAGGCATGGTGGCTGCATCAATACTCTTTTCCCTTTGTATATGGGCAAGAAACTGCATACACATGAACTGTCGGAGAGCCGCGCGGATCTCGTACCCCCCCAGCCCTGGCGCGCGGAGCGTGCCATGGGCGGCCCCGCCACGGTGGGGTGGGGTGGGGGGGGGGCACGCTCGTGGACATGTCGCGGGGGCTCCCTGGCCACTGTGTTGGTGCTGAACTGGCCTGCTAATGCCTCGCTGTCCTGGCGCTCTGCTGGGCCCCTGCTCCCTCGAGCACTTGACACGCGTGCGGAGCTGCACTGACTCTGCCACGCCTCCCGGTGGCTCTGCCGCGGTTTCCTGCCCCGCACGCGCACCGCCCGAGGCGGCGGAGAGCTTGATGATAGATTTAACGAAACTCGCACGGAACTCCGACAGTTCGATCCTCGATCCTCCTCCTCTTCATGCGATCGTCGATCCTCGATCCTCGATCCTCCTTCTCCTCCTCCTCCTCCTCCTCCTCCTCCTTCTCCTCCTCCTCCTCCTCCTCCTCCTCCTCCTCCTCCTCCTCCTCCTCCTCCTCCTCGATCCTCCTCAATCCTCGATCCTCGATCCTCCTCGATCGCGCGAATTGGGGCTCCTCGATCCGGGAAGGGCCTCCCGCGAGAGGGCGGCGGCGCTCCTGCGAGGCCACGCGCGCCGCCTCCGCGAGCTGCTCCACCGCGCCCGGGCCGCCCGCCCCGCCGGAGCTCCAGAGCTCGTCCGCGCAGCGCACGGCGACCCGCAGCGGCAGGCGCCGCGACAGGGGCGGGTAGGGCTGCTCCACGGAGGACAGGCAGCTCCTCTGGACGAGTGAGGAGGAGGAGGAGGAGGAGGAGGAGGAGGAGGAGGAGGAGGAGGAGGAGGAGGAGGAGGAGGAGGAGGAGGAGGAGGAGGAGGGAGGAGGAGGAGGAGGAGGAGGAGGAGGAGGAGGAGGAGGAGGAGGAGGAGGAGGATGATGATGTGGGGCTCTGAGTACCAGCATCAGCTCTCGGCACCCGGGGGGCCGCTCTCGGGCCCGGGGCGGCGGCCCCCGCAAACGCCTCAGGCCGGAGAGAGGCCGACCCTGGGCAGGGGGCAGCGCGGGCAACGAGCAGCCCCACAGCCAGGCCCTCGCGGCCTGGACTCCGAGGCGCGATCCCATGGATACGCGACCCCAGGGATACATCCCGCGCAGAAATAAAGGCCTCCTAGATGGGGTCGAATAAAGGCCTCCCAGATGGGGTCGGAGTAGATGGGGTCGGAGGATCGCGCCGAATCGCGGATACATCGGCGATGCATCGGCGATGCATCGGCGATGCACCGGCGATGCATCGTCGATGCATCGTCGACGTTGGCGATGCATCGGCGACGTCGACGTGACGTAAATCGGGCTGCACATCGAGCCGCATCGGCGATGCGTCGGCGATGCGGCGCGATCCTCCGACACCATCTAGGAGGCCTAGAAGAAAGCATCCGCCCAGAGTGGGAGAGAGGGGGACCAACCATCCAACGCAGGACGTTTGCAACTGCTTCCGGCCTCCAGGGGGCGCTTGCCGGCTCCCGGGCCGTCGCGGAAACGACTCAGGATGAGAAGCCAGCTCTGGGGAGAGGGTCGGCAACTTCCGGCGACGGGGAGCCCTCGCACCGAGCGAGGGAGGGGGACCACGAGGAGCGAACTTACGCGTCTCCACGCCCAAGCGCAGTGTGATGGACCAGCGATGCGATGCGCCCCGCCCGCAGCGGGGGGAGCCCTCGACCTCCACCTTCCGCGACCTCCGCGCGGAGGCTGCCGCGGCCGCGACGGCAGCCAAAGTATCACGGCAGGTTCGTGTGGTGCCGACTTCGGCGTTGGTCTCTGACACCGCGGGGATCGTTCACAACCTTGAACAATCAACCGTTTGCGACACGTCCGATCGCTCAACGTCGACTGATTCTGGGCCGTCGCCGGCGTTCGACGTGGAACGCCCGCGGCGGGGTCGCCGCTGGCCGACACGACGCGGACCCACCGCACGCAGCAGCGGGTGTTGCAAACGTCGAGGGGGAGGTGGGGGGATCAGGCGCTAGGGGTCGGGCTTCTTGTGCGCCTTTCGACGCCTGACTGTGGTGGCCTGCCAGATGGCGGTGAGTGGAAGGAGGAGAGGACAGCAGAAAGACGGGGATGTGAGAGAGTCATTCTCGCCCTGAGGTGCGGGGGGAAATGGAGCGACGAACGCCCTGGAGTACGTAGATCTCAGAAGCAGAAGCTGTTCCCCAGACGCAGCCCGGACCAAGCCCGCACGCCCTCTGGGAGCAGGTGGTCCAACCTCGGGGAGGGGCACCCTCCCCCTCCCCTCGCCGAGGTGTATAATAAACCTCCGTGAGGGCAACTGAGGCAGGAGGCCCTCCAGGGCTCCCCAGGAGGGCCCCAAGAGGGCCCCTTAAGAGCGCCCAAGAGCACCCCAAGAGCGTCCCACCAGGGCCCCAAGAGGCGGCTTCCCTCCTCCTCCTCCTCCTCCTCCTCATTTCCTCGTCTGTTTCTCCTCTGTTCCTCCTCTGTTCCTCCTCCTTCTCCTCCTCCTCCTCCTCCTCCTCCCTTCGCCCTTCCCTCGCCCTCCCGCGGGCCCCAGGGATGGCCCGAAGAGGCCCTCCAAGTCCACTCCCTTGCTCCCAGAGACCTCCCTTTTCATCCTGGTTGCCCACTTTGTTTCAGTATATGTGTCTCTTCGTTCCTTTTCCCATCAACTCTCATGGGCAGGGTTCCGTAATGGCCTTGTGGAGATATGCCAAGCGTGAAGAATTGTTCGGGATGCGCACAGCCGTGGACACCACGGCCACACCCGTAGCCAAACATGCCCCAACAATTTTAACTTCCCCTTCCCCCCTTGCCCGCAAACGTTCGACGTCTCGATTGTTTCGTGGCGCGGGCCCCCAGGAACACTCGATCTAATCCCCGGGACTGGAGGCCTCCCGAATGAGACCAAAAAAGCCCTCGACGGCAATTCGGAAATCCTGGGGCAATATCGGGCTTGCACCAAAAATCAACTAACACATATGCCAGCTGTTTCTTGCCGGACGGCATCGTTTCGCACCAATACACCTGTAATGCCACCTCAGCGCATTAATAATCTTTCCCACAAAGAAAGCCTTCGGATATCCGTGTAATTCCTGACGACATCCTGTTGATGCCTTCAAACATTTCCAGGAGCTAACTCGGGAATCCGTCGGGATCTTCCTAGGACATCCTTAGGAAACTGCAAGATTTCCTTCGGAATCCTTGCGGTTATCTGGAATATCCTTAGGACATCATTTGGGTTCTTTGGAAGCCCTTCAGGAACTAGTGAAACAGGTTCGTGCTTTCCTACTGCAACGTTATACAAATCGTATGGTTGTAAGGTCGTGGGTCGTGGTGTCGGAATCCGACCCCAAACTACACTAGATACATTTTCCCTGATGCCATATCGGAGGATCGTCATATCCAATTGATGCCATTGCACATATACCGGATCATCCTGAGGGATCCTCGGTGATCCTACGGATCCCCTAAGGATTCCGAAAGAGAGCGCTAAGGATTCCCGAGCAAGTCCCAACGTGTTCTGCAGGTTTCCTCCAGAATGTCGGTGGACCCCTCAGGAATTCCTGAGGAAACCTCAGGTCTCCCCAACGAAAACTCCCACGGCACGGACTTCTCCAGAGATCCCTGAGGGTTCTCGAAGGAGCAATGAGAGGCCTTCGGGATGCGTAATATATTGGAAAGCCTAAGGAATTCCTTAGAACTCCTTCGGATATTCCTGTGGATTCCATCGGACATCCTTCGAGCATCCCTGGGAGATCCTCAGCAGTCTGTCGGGAGTCCCCTGGATGCCTTATAAGATCCATGGGGGATCATTCGGAGATCCGCTGGACTCCTTCACAATACCTTAGGATGCCCCTGGGGGGTGGGAATATCACACCACGGTGCAGGATGCATGATAGTTCCGCAAGATGATGGGGGGTGGCTTAACTGCTCACTTAGGTTAGATGGAGGTCGGAGGATCGCATTGCATCTCCGATGCATCGGCGATGCAGCAGAGACGTCGGGGTGGAGAAAATCTGACTCCACATCGAACCCAATGTGGCGCGATCCTGCAACCCCATCTACTCCAGCCCAACTTTTGTTGTTGTTGCTGCTGTTGTTGTTGTAGTTGTAGTTGTAGTTGTAGTGCAGTTGTTGTTGTTGTTGGTGTTGTTGTTGTTGGTGTTGTTGTTGTGGTTGTTGTTGTTGTTGTTGCTGTTGTTGTTGTTGTTATTGTTGTTGTTGTTGTTGAAGTTGTTGTTGTTGTTGTTGTTGTTGTTGTTGTTGTCGTTGTTGACATCGCTACCGAATGCTGGGCTTCTCACGCTCCTCGCCTTGTGGCGGAGAGCATGCGTCTTGATCCAACGCGCCGCGTTACGGCGAGAAGTGTCCCGAAACTGCCATCCCCCTTAGTGGGATTGCGACTCTGACATGTCCTGTGCTACGCCATCCTGCCCATCACAACCTCTGCCCACGCGTGCGCGTGCACCATTGGATGTCTTAAACCGTGCACCGCTGGATTTCCCATCTACTCCAGCCCCACTGGACTTGCCAACGCTGTATGGGCCGCGGGGGGTGAGGCGGCCATGCCGCAGCTCTGGCATGATAGCTTTATTTCTGCCGCAGCCGTGAAACGGTATTGCGATGTCATGTGAGGCCACGGCATTTGTGCTCATGTGCTTTGCACTCAGCTTTCTCTCTCTCTATCTCTCTCTCTCCAGCCCCACTGGTGGGGCCTGGAGGAGCCACTTCTTCATCCCAGGCCCTGGCTGCTTGCTTCGACGGCCTTTGAGGGCCTGGAAGCGGGCCCCCGCATGGCCGACCTGCATACAACAACTGGCCGCCGCGATCTCATCTCGTGACGCTTGGAGCCAGTCTGGGTTCGGCCCATCAGCGGTCGCTCGAAGTTGGTCCCCAAATTTGCAGGGGCCACGGGGTCTGAGCTGGACGGCCCCGATCTGTCAAGAGGGGGGGACAAGGGCAAGTCAACTTCCAATTTGTCCTCCTAGGGTCCATCTGGTGCAATTTTTCACGCCGGATCCGTTGTTGACGGTCCCGGGCTCCGAAAACGGCCCCCGGAGATCGAAACAGGCAAAAATCAGGTTCGAACCCAGAACCTCGAACCTGCCCCCCTTCCTGCTGGCTGGAACCAAACCCAAAATCTTTCCTGGACGTCATCTAGAGGCCTCCTAGATGGGATCCGAGTAGATAGGGTCGGAGGATCGCACCGCATCGCCAATGCATCGGCGATGCATCGGCGATGCATCAGCGACGTCAGCGATGCATTGGCGACGTCGGCGTGGGATAACATGGGCTCCACATCGAGCCGCATCGTCGATGCATCGCCGATGCGGCGCGATCCTCCGACCCCATCTGCTCGGAACGCGTCCTGGCAGGCCTAGACTTAGGTCGGGCATGCCATCCTACAGGTCAATAAAACAGGGCTAAGATCGGGATAAATCGCTCCAGAGCGTTCCGGAGCGCTCTCAGAGCGTTCCGGAACGCTCTGGAGCGGCCGCGGCGCCCAATACATCCTCCAAACCCGCCGATTCTCAGAGATTTCGAGTAATCCCGATCCGATGTTGTCCCGATCTTCGCGTCGTTTTAGTCAAGCATCATAGAAACATCGTCCCCTACTCGGAGCCCCCTTTAGGAGGCCTAGATCGTCTTGACCCGCGTTTCGAGCCGCGTCTGGCCGTGGCCACGGCGCCCCGCCCCCAAGGGGCCTCGGCGATGGCGAGCAGTATAATGGCACGCACGCTGACGTCGGCGGGGGGGCGGCGTCGGAGGCGAGGAAGGCGGCAAGCGGTGGCCTGCATCACGAGCGACGAGCGTGTCCATGCAGTGGAGGCCCGACCACAAGAAGCCTTCCACAAGAAGCCCAACCCCGAGAACCCAGGACGTCCAATTGATTGATTTTTGGTGTGGGAACGTCACGCCGTCCACGGCAGAACCACCGAGACCCAGGGAACCCAGGGCACCCTGGAGGCAGGCAGGGTGCTTCTTGGCATTGGCCTCCGCTGTGCCCACGCCCACGCGGCCTGGACCCCGGGGCGCGATCCCTCGGATACACGCGGTCGCATGGGCACGTTCCGCGCGGGGCACCTGGGGAACACGCGCTCGGTGTCCACGGGGCGGGGGCCCGGCCCGCGAGGCCGTGGATACGGACATGTTGCTTAGTGAAGGGGCCCAAGGACACAGACACAAATACACACAAATGAAAGGATTCCCCATCTTTCCCGATCTTTTCTGGGCTGTTGCCTTCCCCACCACTTCCCATATTTTTTCATATATTTTCCGGGGGAGCGACGATGAATTTTGTCTGTGTGTTTTTCCCCCTCCTGATCTATGCTCCCCGCCCCCGACGCCGCGAGAGCGCCCCGCCCCGCCGCAGCTGAAGCAGAACCCAGCCCGGGCTCGGACTCCGCCCCTCCTCGGGCTCCGCCTCGGAGCCCGGAGGGGGCCGGCCGCTCTCTCCGCGCTCGCTGGCGACCGCGCGGCCCGCGCGCTCGCACCGAGGTCCGATCGGGCTGCGGACCCCGGAGGGCCGGGGCCGTCGCCGTCGCCAGCCCGGCCGCTGCTCCCCGGCGGGCGATGCCGCTGCTCCCCGGGGGAGTCTCCGGGGGCGCGCTCTCGCCAGGATCCTCGGCGCGAGGCCGGCCGTGGCGGCCGGGGCTCCCCATGGGCGAGCAGCGGCACTCGTCGCCACGTGCCCCCTCCTCCGGAAAGGGAGGGAGGCCAGGGCCGTCGCCGCTGCGACTGCACCTCTGCATCCCGCGCCCGTTCGAAGCCTGATCTGCGGCCGCCGTGCCTGAGTCGGCTTATATGCGCGTGCCGCTGCTTTGTGCCATACAGACGCTACACTATCCCAACCATCGAAACTCGCCGAACGTCAAAAATGTTGCCGTCGCCCTCCCAGGAAGTCGCCGTCCTGAGGTTGTAGCGCTCGGCGGACGAGAGCTCGAGCCAGTTGAGCGCGGGGGCGCGTTGCGGCGCGCCGTCTTTGGCGGCGGCGCGCGGTCGGAGCCACTGCTCGCGCCTGGCCAGCCAGGTGGCTTCGCCTGCGGGGGCGGCCCATTAAATGTTTATTGTTTTTGTTTTCTCTTTCTCTCTCTCTCTCACTCTCTCACACATTCCCTATATATGCATATCTATATATATGTATATATACATATATATATAGAGAGAGATAAAAGTACATGCGTACGCCTAATGTAACGTACAGTTATGCACACATATGTATATTTTTGTTCGGCCAATGTGGACCCCACCGTGTGTTTATAGACATCTACGTTGTATAATACGTGGGGTTACCTATGTCGTGCCATCTACGTGGTAAAACTGATGCTGTACAACTCATGGTGTGCAATATATGTGTTGCCACCTTAGTGAGACACTCCGGGTGGTGCAATCTACGTGGTGCAATCGATGCGGTGATACAAGTATATATGCACATACTAGAACCACGCGCGCGCTTCGCGCGCGCCCAGGTTCTAGCAAGTTCTGGCTGTAGTCTAAAATGCTCGGCGTCAGAGGGCACATAGCACGGATCGGGCAGCTCAGGGAGCTCCACCGACGGCCCCAGATACAGGCTTGGCTTAAAAGTCCCCCGCCAAAGCTGGTACACCCCTCAAACAGGTCGCGCCCCACAGGGACCTCCACCTGTCCCCAGAGACAAGGTTCGCATAGTGGCACGCCCCTCACGCGGATCGTGCCCAGCACGTAACTTCATTTGCGGCACCAGAGGGGAGCTTCATAGTGTCGCCTGGCCTACTTCGGCAAACCTCTCGCACGGATCGTGGCCCGCAGGGACTTCCACGGACGGTCCCAGAGGCAAGGTTCGCATGCCGCTCTCCGCCTACTTCGGCACACCGCTCGCACGGGTCGTGGCCCACAGGGATCTCCACCCCTGGCCCCAGAGGCAGGATTCGAATTACGCCCCCTCGCCCGTGGCGGCAACCCCGCCACGCAGATCGTACACAGAAGGCGCACAACCTACAGGCCCAAATGTAAGGTTCGCGCACCGCCCCCCCCAATTCCGGCGCATCCGTCACGCGAACCACGCCTCAGAAGGAGCTCCACCCCTGGCACCAATGGGCAGCTTCGCATGGCGTCCCCCCGCCCATGTCGGAACATGCCTCGCACGGGTCGCGCCCAGAGGAGGTCGACCTGCGGCCTCAGTGGGCGTGTTCGCTCGGGGGCATCCTAATTCGGCACACCCTTCACGCGGACCGTGCCCCACAACGAATTCAACGAACCCGTGCACGCGTGCTCCGCAGCAACACAATTTCCGCAATGCCCCGCGGCGCGCAGTGTATGAAGAGAGACCCGCGCCCCGCGCGACACATGACTGCATTGAGATGGATCCGTCGCCAAGCCAATCGCTGGCTTATCTATAGCCTTCGGCCCATATCGCTACTGTGCCTGAGTTTTGGGCCAGAGGATTCTCGGATACCTGTCTGTTGGCATGCTTCTCGGGCACCTCATGGAGCGACTTTTGAAGTTTATTCTGGACGAGAAAAATCTATTGACACAACGTGCTATTGATACGTTCCGGAGATTCCAGGATTTCTAACAGCCTTCGCGCGGGGTGCACTTTGCGTCGAGAATTGTCTATTCTGGTTGGCGCCGCTGGTCGATCACCCATTCGCAATCGAGTGGTCGCCCGTAAGGGACGACTTGGCATTTGCTGACCCCCCTTCTCGTTGCCGAGCGCGGGTGGAACGGTGGTGCACCGTCCAATCGCCCGCCGCCGCGCACCGCGCGCCTCGGCGGATTCCCAAAGACCTGGCAAGGCAAATTACGCGCGACTCTGGAACATTCTCCGAAGGTAAAGCTGAACAAATCCGGGACCGTTTTTGAACATGTCCGGCCTACTTTTTGAAAAATATTAAACTCGTTTTTGAAAACTTCTGGGATCAAATTTGAAAAAATCCGGAATCCATTTTGACTAAGTCCGGATTTCACCCCTCAAAACTGTTTAAAACAAATTCTGGGCTCCTTTTTGAAAAATTCCGGAACCGATTGCGCAAACAAAAAAGCGGAAGCGTTTTCTGACACAGTCTACAATCCAGAAATAATGTCCGGGCGGTCCGACGGGCGCGGCCGGCTGATTCACGCGCCGCGCCGCGCGCGATTGGGCGCGCCGCGCGCCGCGCGTTGCGCCCGCGAACAATACTCGAAGGGGCTACCTCGAAAACACCGCCACGGCAGCTGCGACTCGCGGGCTCCTCAAGAGCAACACAGCATGCAGCTTGGAATCTTCGAGGGCGCTCCGATGCGCGAAAAATGCACCGCGAACATCACGCAAGGAACCTGCGCGACGGAATGCGCTCGACCATTCGTCCCTGGAGCCCGCGCAGAAGAACAGGAAAACCTGGAAATCTGGATAACTATCAATATCAATACTTCATGCTCCTCTGACTATTGGGGCATATTGGGGGCCTCTTGGCGCCTCTTTTTGAGCCCTTGGGGGCCTCTTGGGAGTCTGCCGCTTAGAGCGGAGGGATCGAAATGTCAGTTTGAGTTCCCCCTCTTGGATTCCTCTTGGGGCCATATTTGGCCGTCTTGGGCGCCTGTTGGACCGTCTTGGGGCTCTCTTGGGCTGCCTGGGGCCCCATTGCCTCTTGGGCCGTCTTGGGGTGATCTTTGGGGCCTCTAAGCCGTTTGGACGCTGTAAGTCGTTGAGATCCAACATGCGAACATGCTAAAATGCGTGTTTGCCGTACGGATGGGGCAACTTTTGCCTCGTGGGGCTCTCTCGGGGCGCAGGAGCCTTCTCAGGACGTCTTCGGAACTTCTTGAGCCGTCTTGAAACAATAGTCAGGCGTCTTCGGCCCTGACAAGCCGCTCTGGTCGTTTTGTTGGTGGCCTCCGGTGCTTTTTGAACGGCGGTTGGAAGGCCTGGGAGGCCCCGGAAGGGGTCAAAATGTCGTAGGCCAAAGGGACGGGGGAGAGGGGGTGGCAATTCCAGGAGGGTGTCCTGGCCCTGGCCCCAGTCCCCTGGTACCCTGGCATATTATATACAACCACGCGCGCGCTTCGCGCACGCTTAGGCTCTAGTCAGTCACAAGCAATCAGGCCAGTGGGTGCTGGCCGTTGTGGAGCCTTCTTGGGACTGCCTTGCAGCCTCTTGGGGCCACGTTAGGTCCCCTTGGGCATTTCCATGACGTCTTCGAGCCTTCTTGGGACATCTCTCGGCGCTTTTGGGCCGTCTTGGGGCCATCCTGGCCCTTCTTGCGCTCCAGTGGCGGCTATCTTGCAGTCGCCCTGGGCTGGCTTTGGACCCTCTTTTGGCCCTCTTCGGGCGCTACTTGGGACATCTTGGGGGCTGGGTGCCCCTGGGGAGCCTGTGATTGGTCAATGGGGGGGCTCTTCGGGGATCGTTGAATCCTAGGGTTTCTTGGGGCTGTCTGAGGGGCGCCTTTGGGGGGTGGGATTGCGCACGCCGAAGAGCGTCAGCACCAACGCTACGAACCTCGTGACCCCGAAGCTAGCAACAAAAACGGCGCGAAAAGGGGTGAAGGCAGCGGAGGGAAGGAGAGAAGGCTTGATGAAATCGCTGGCGGGCGTGCGAGCATCTAGTGCCGGGAATTTGCCGCTCTGATGCTCGCTGGAGCTCTTGACAAGCTCACGGCTCCAATGACATCGTGACCCAGAGATCGTTGCAACGTCTAGTGCTGAACAGTGCGGACCGATGAAAACAACGAAATACCAATAACAACGCTTCCGTATAGTTCCGTGCGACACCCTGCGAAGCAACGAGTGTAGAAACACTACGATGCAACGCTTTTCCACGGAAGCCATACATAGAAGTGGGCAAATCATAAGCTGGACAATGCCATGCAATAAAGGAAGGCCAAAGCGAAGCGCAGCAATGTGGACCAAAGGACGATCAGGCGCGAAGTCGTCGTCGTCGGCGTCGTCGTCGAAGTGGGGGTGGTGCTCGTCGTCGTAATCGGCGCCGAAACAAGCGTCCCTCGTCGATCCTGGAGGGTGGAGGCCCACTCTCAGCAGGGCGGCGTCGGGCACTGCAGATGAGAGCGGCAGCTGCAAACGGCAGCCTCGATTCCGAGCCCACTCGGAGCGGGGCCGCGGGCCCCGATCGGATTCCGCTCTGAACGCATCCCCGGGGTAACCCGACGCGGAACTACTTCGGCGGCCTTGCGCGGACCCCTCTCCTATTCGGTCTTCTCGTCGGACTGGCGGCGAACATCGTGTTCCGGGATGGCTCTCCAGGAACATGATGGTGTAGGCCGTGTCGGGGCTTCCGCGGAACGTTCCAGGATTCCCCAAGTGAAGGTGGGAAACCGAAGGACGGCCCAAGGCCATTCGAAAAACCCTGTGATGGGGGGCGAGGAAGTGGAGTTCAGAACTGACATGAAGGAGGTATGAACTGACAAAGCATGCACGGCTGGAGTTGGGAAGGCCGCGAAGAGGAGGGTGAGGAAAAGTGTGGGTGCTTGCGACAGCGACCATAATGGTTTAAGGCCCACCCCGCCGCCGTCCTGCAGTGTGGGTCGAAAGCCTGTAGGATCTCCGATGGGAAAGCGACGGAGGTCGCGCGGGGGCCTCTTGGGGGCCGTTTCTGGGCCTCTTGTCTTTGACCATCCCGGGCCGTCTTGGGCGCCCCTGGGGCCGCCTCGGGGCTTGCGCGGGCGTCTGTTCGCCGTTTGCTCTTCCTCCTCCTCCTCCTCCACAGTTGCACAGTCTGTGAATACTACTCTCCCCTGTCCTGCCCAGATCGCGTTGTCTGAACTTCTGGGGGGGGAGCGTGGGACACGTACAAATACATTAGAGTCGCGCCCCCGAGGCAATAATCCCTATTGGATTATACACTAGTCGCGTCCCCGAGGCTTGTCACCTTCGCAAAGTATGCATTCTTGCGTCCCCGAGGCAACAGACCTTTGCAAATTACGCTATAGTCCAGTCTCCGAGGCTATACTCCCCTGCATATTACGCCATATTCGCAATGCGGAGGCCAGGAGTGAGTGCTCCAAGGTGCCCGAAGATGGTTCCAAGACCGCCCAGGATGGTCCCAAGAGGCCCCAAGAGCGCTCCAAGAGGCCTCCCGAGAGAACCCCAAGAGGCCAACTTCGTCGATATTACATAGGTTTTTGAAAGATGTTGGCCTTCTCGCTTTTCGGTTATCCGACTCTCAAGGGCGGCTCAAGAAGCTCTCAAGACCGCCCCAAGACAGCCCAAAAGACGGCCCAAGAGGTCTCCTAGATTGCCCAAGAAGCGCTCAAGACGGCCCAAGAGGGCCCCAAGACGGCCCCAAGAGGGGCCCAAGCCGGGGACCACGGACCGACAATTCTACATGTTGTGCCCCGGGAAGCCCTCAGGAGGCCCCAAGAGGCCGCCAAGAGGCCCCAAAAGGCGCCCAAGACGCGCCCAAGAGGCTTCCAAGAGGCCCGAAAGATACCCCACGAGGCCTCAAGAGGCCCCCAAGAGGCGCCCAAACCATCTCCATGAGGCCCCCGAGAGCTCCCCACGACACCCCAACACATATACAAGAGGCCTCAGACCCACAACCCAGGCACGGTGAGGATGGGCCGAAGGCCACTAGGATCCGCCGCCTCATATGGTATTGCCACAGGGGTGCCTGGCGCGCTGGACTTCTTACGATTTCGTTTCGGTTCTTTTCCAAAAGAACTATTCCCTGGGGCTTCGGCCCGTCCCGCCGGCCACCCGAACGGGACCGCAAGCGAGCACAACGTCCGCCCAAAAGTCTTCCAAGACGGCTCAAGATGGCCTCCAAGATGGCCCAAGATTCCTCCAAGATGCCTCCAGGACGGCCTACAAGGGTCGAAGATGGTCCCAGACGGACCAACAGGCCTCCAAGATGCTTCCAAGACGGCCCACGAGGCCTCCAAGAGGTCCTCCAGGAAGGCCTGAAGAAGCCAACATCATTGATTTGCATTCGGTGTTTGACATATTGTGGCTTTCCCTCTGTTTTCGTGCTTCGACCGCCCAAGACGGCCCAAGGGGTCTCCAAAATCGTCCCAGGGGCCTCCAAGATAGCTTCAGGACGGCCCGAGAGGCCTCCAAACCAGCCCCAAGACGGGCCAAGATGGCCTCCAAGATGGCTCCAAGACAGCCCAGATGACCTCTAAGACGACCAAGGTGGCCGCTCAGACGGCCAAGATGGCTCAAGATGGGTCCAAGAGGCTTCCAGGAAGGCCTCAGAAGCTTCCAAGAGGTCCTGCAGGAAGGCCTGAGGGAGCCTAGATCATTGAGTTCCTTCGGTTTTTGCATGAGTTGAGCTTTCCTTTGTGTTGGTGTCCCAGCTGCCCAAGACGGCCCAAGGATTCTCCGAAATCGTCCCAGAGGCCTCCAAGATGGTTCCAGAACGGCCCAAGCGGCCCCCAAGCCACCCCCAAGAGGGCCCCAAGACGGCCCAAGAGGCCTCCAAGACGTACAGGACGCCCTAGACGGCCTCCAAGACGGCCCTGAAACGCTCCACGAGGGCCACAGAGGCGACCATGAAGCAGCGCTGAACAAGACAGCACCTTCACCTAAAAGTCTGACACGACATCCCTGTTAGCATCAGCATTCCTATACAATACGTAAGATGGGTTTGTGACCTCCATAAAAACATGCAATGTAACATTGGATGTATTTGTTAGATGTTAGGCGACCCTGGTCTTAGGCGACGCCAAAGACTTTCCAAAGAGGCCCCCCCAAAAACGGTGAGTGAGACCAGATCGAAGTCCTCACTGCGGTCATTATCGTCAGGTGTTCCCCGAAGTCCTGCCACGCACACTCGGGGAGCACATGCTCCGATAGCTAGGCCAAGCTCTGGTCGTAACTTTCGGACACACTGGCTCTTCCACAAAGGCAGGGTACGGCGGTGACTCGCCGTAGGCGTCTTCGATAACGCCGACGTCTCCGTATGCGCTGATGTTTCCCATCCGCCCCCGCACGATGTTCCCAGATGCGCCAAGGCAGCGCCGAGACGCACCGACGCGATTCGAAAGAATCTCATTATGATAGAGAGCGGGCCGGCGGCAGGGGGCGAAGCCCTTACGGATATAATGTCCATGTACGGTCTCGCTGGACAAGTCATCGACATTTCTCCGTACACGCCTACGCATTCTCTCATGCCTGAAAGACGGATACTTCGCAGAACGGGGCTCCCGCATGAGCGGAATGCGGGTGTGCTCCACCGCCGTTGACACATCCCTGGCCTACTCATGGAGGCCGCCTAAATTGGGGTCCGAGCAAGTGGGGTCGCAGGATCGATCCGCACCGCCAATGCATCGGTGACGTGGGCGTGAAGCATCTGCCCCCACACCGAGCCGCACCGCCGAGGCAACGGCGCTGCGGCGCGATCCTCCGATGCCACCTGCTCGGACCCCACCTGGGAGGCTTGGAATTCCTGCCCCTCCCCCGTGCCCCCTCTGTTAACGGGCGAAGAACGGTATAAAATAAACTGTTTCGCTGTCGGGGGCGCCTGTCCCAGGGCGGCTGGAAAGTTTATACCCTTACGGTGGCACCGTAGGGGTATAAACTTTCCAGCCGCCCAGCGGCAGGCGCCCCCGACGGCGAAACTGCTTATTTTATACCGTCTTTCGCTCGCTGACTCTGTCTTCTCCCCCTCCTCCTGCTCCCGATGGGGGCCTGCCGACGGCCGCCCAAGGCCGAGCGCCGCCGAAGGCTGCCGCCGAGGGCCGCCGCCGCGCGCCGCCGAGGGCCGCCGCCGCGCGCCGCCGCGCGCCGCCGCGCGCCGCCGCGGGCCGCCGCGGGCCGGCGAGGACCGCAGGTGGCCGCCGACGACCGCCGCGGGGGGTGGGCGAGCGGTCTTATACGCGGGCTTGGCACGGCCCGGGTCGCCGCTCATGGCGTCCGGCACGGGGGCGGCCTGGACCTCGGGGGCCGACGAGGGCACCCAAGGGCGGCCGCTTCCTCCTCCTCCTCCTCCCTCCTCCTCCTCCTGATCCTGATCCTGATCCTCCTCCTCCTCCTCCTCCTCCTCCTCCTCCTCCCGCGCCTCCCCCACTCCCATCAAAGCCACACGGCCCTGGCTCCCTGCATGTCATGTCTTGCCCATGGGGTGCTGGGCGTGGGGCCCCCTGGGCCTCTCGCCCGCACGGCAGGCCCACGGGGCCTCCGTGTCTGCCAGGGGGGGGGCCGCGCCCCGCAGTGGAGAGGAGCACCGGTGCAGACTGGCGAGGCAGAGGCCTTAAGGGCGGGCGGGCGTGCTGCAGCATCGGTAGCGCACCTTGGGTGTGCGCTGGTCCCTGCGTGCAGCTGGGATGGAGTGTGCTACGCGCACACAGACACACACACACACACCCACACACACACACACACACACACGCTAAAGCACATGTCGTCGTCGTCGTCGTCGTCGTCGAAGTCGGCGGCGGCGGCGGCGTCGTCGTCGACGTCGTTGTCGTCGTCGTCGTCGCCGGCGTCGTCGCCGGCGTCGTCGCCGGCGTCGTCGTCGTCGGCGGCGGCGTCGTCGGCGTCGTCGTCGGCGGCCGCGCGCAACCTCCGCGCTCGGCCCCGCCGCCGCCGCGGCGCCCGCTGGGGCCGCGCCGGCCTCCGCGGGGCCCCGCGCGCGTGCCGCGCGCGGCCCTCCGTTCGCCCCTCCCTGGTGGCCGGCGTGACGAGCGGCGGGTCAGGCATCTCTTTGGTTGGGAAAACAATGTATGTATATACATATATATGTATAGTTATGTATATATGCATATATATATATGTGTATATAAATTATGTATATACGCATATATGTGTGTATATCATACATATATAGATATATACATATACATATATAACTATTACGTGTCTATATCTATGTACATATATATATATGTATGTATGTGTGTGCGTGTGTCTTAAGCGTTTTCGGAAAAGAACCGAGGATAGATGAGGGACGATCAGAAACGGGTCTTACGCGAGAGGGCACAGCGGCCTCACGCGGCGGGCCGCCCGCGCGGCACGCCACAATGGAGACGAGGGCGCTCACGCGCGGCCTTACGCGGGCAGCTTGCGCGCCAATTTTCGGCGACCTGCGTCGCTCAATCGGCCAGCGGTGAAACCTTTCCAGTGCAAGTGGCCAGCGATGAATGGGTGCCCCTGGAAAGCTACTCATCCTCGTGGTCCCGGACATGGACAGTAAGTTCGAGCCCTGCGGCGCAAGATGCCCTCCCGACCCTCCAGATTAGTGCGGCAATGGAGGGGGCTTGGGTGGACAAACACACTCGAACCCCAAAACAATCACTCATGTTAAAGTCAACATTGATTTCAGGGGCGGGGGGGTGATCGAAATCCACCCCAAGTGTATACGGAATTGAATATTATGTCCGTGTGCTGTCCAGCTTCACTGCAACCAAGAGTGACCCTGGTGCGCGGCTTTAGAAGGCCGCGAGGGGAGGGCCAGATCCAATCGCGCAGGTCGCGACGATTCACAGAACACCTTTTAGCAAAAGGTCGCTGCAGTGAGAACTTCCAGGGACACTCCGAGTGCGCACGGCACGAACTTCCACTGGACCCGTGCGGGATGGCTAATCGACTTCTCAAAACGAGCGGATGTATCCTGCAAAACCCGCGCCGACTAGCGAAACCAACTGGGGACTGCACCGGCACACTCTAATGCCAACGTCGAGTGAATAGTGCTGATTTCCTGAGCCGATTTGTCTGGATGGGCGTTCTCTGAATGCCCGACTGATGGGCCAGGGCCCGACGTTGTTTGACGAAAACAATTCAGAGTGCTGCGTATCTCGCAGTGTGTTCTTCTGTATGGAGCGTTCATATTACCAATCGCCTCGTATGGAGAACGGGTTGGGTGCGTCTCGGGTAAGTTTGGGTGCTGTGGCGCCGCTGGTGCAAATGTATACTGAAAACGTCTGGCGCTGTCGCGCGGCAGCCGGTCGTGACCCGTGGTGGCCTTTTGCTGTCGCTGCGAGATCCAAGCTCGCAGGCCCATTTTGGGGGGAACCCCCCCTGGGCCAGGGCCCGCATCAGAGGCCACTCCGGCGAGGGATATGGGGAGACCGAAAGGTACGGATACCGCCACTCCCCAGGCCTCTCCCGGCGACGAGGGCCTCCCAGGAGGCCCAAAAATGGGAAAGCGGGTAAAGGGTAGAGGTGTATGAGTACCCTTTCCTCGTCTGAAGATCACTCCTGCGACTCGCCGACCTTTGTCCGCCCTGTCTCCCGAGGTCCTGGTGGCACGCGTGCATTTCCCGCCGGGCGTTCTCTTCGCTTGCCCTCGGGCCCCGTGGCCCTCGCAGCTCGGGGCGGCTCGAGGGGCGCCACAGAAAAATGGGGCACAGGGCCCTGGTCGCGAGTTTCCCCTGTGCTGATCCTTTTTTATCGCGACGTCGGATCTCAGGTTATTCTCGTGCTGTCCCTCGGCGCTTGTCCTCTTTTTCGGCATCCAGGTGTCGTCCTGGAGCCGTGGGGGCCATCGACGATGCACCCGGGATCCATAGCTGTCCCTGGGGAAAAACAGGTCGAGGTGGGGACCGCGAATCCAGAAAAAATGAATCCCTCGGACGTCGGGGTCCGTTCCTCCCTTCGTTGCTGCTTCCTCCCTCATCCGCCCCCTCCTGCAGGACTGGGGGGAGGGCGTGCGGGGGGGGCGGACAGGGAGAGGAATCGCACAAGCCATACGCTGTGCCATTCGTGTATGACTCTTCCCCCCCAGGCCCGAGCGGAGAGGATGGCGGGAAGGGACTGGAGAGGGGGTGGGGGGATGGGGGGGGAGCCGGGAGGAGTGAGGAGGCGGGGGGGGGAGGGCAGGAGAGCCAGGAAGACGAGGAAGAGGAGGCTCAATCCGCCATGCCTCCCCCGCCCTCCTCCCGTCCTCCTCCCTCCCTCCTGCCCCGCCCCCTCGCCCTCCCTCCCTCGGCCCCCGCGAGGCAGACAGAGCGGGGAAGGGCAACCAGGGGCGCAGGGGTCGGCAATTGGAGGCTGCAGCGGTGACCAGTGATCTCTCACCCTGCATGGGGGGAACAAGAGGGGAGTGGGGGAGGACGAGGACAGCGATGGAGGGTGGAAGCAGGAGGGAGGAAGAGTGGAGCAGGAAGAGCAGAATGGTGGAGTATGGGGCAGGATGGGGGGGGGGATGACCCAGAATACCAAAAAGGTCAGCACCACCGAGGAAGGGGGAGCTGATGGCAGCGAGGACATGTCCGCCACCGCCGCGGCCAGTCGTCGGGGCCTGGTGCGGACACCCGGCGGGAGGGGCTGGGCCTCTCCCGGGCCCCGCTAGCATGTTGGCAGGCGGGTGCCGAGCACGAACCGCGCGAGCACGAAACGAGCTGGGGAAGGAGGCGAATCCCTGCGAGGTGCAGTCAACCCGTATCAGAAGGATGCGCGATAAGGCTGCAAGGGCCTTGGACGCCCCTTTCGAAGCTTCTCCGGCTGGGCGCGGCCAACGAAGGTGGCCAGGGACGGACCGAGGAGGCAAGGATGCAAGGGCACCCTCAGGAAAGTGGTTCATCTTTGCTATGCGGGTTGGCTGTATCTGGGGTGGGTGTTGGCTGGAGGCCGCGAGACATCAGGCTTAGGTCGGGCATGTCCCCCCACAGGCGGATTTTAGGCGGAAGAAAATATACTCAAAAAACACACACCCAAGTGTCAAACATAGTAAACACACCGTTCCCAGACTATTCTTTTACCTATTTTTGAAAATTCCCCCTGTAGAGGGACACGCCCGACTTGACATCAGGTCCGAGTGGATGGGGTCGGAGCGTCGCGCTGCCTCGCCGACACATCGGCGACGCACGGGCTCCATCGGGGCGGAGGCAGCCGGGCCCCAGATGTGGAGCCGCCTCGCCGCTTCCCCCCGCCGAGGCATCGGCGGTGCGGCGCCCTCCAGCACATGGACATTATATTCGAACCCTGTGGCCCAATATGCCCCCCAGACCCCTCGAAATCAATATTGATGGCGTGGCGACGGGGGGGGCGTGAGTGGACAGAAATATTCGAACCCCAAGGCACCGCCTTCCCTGAGGTCAACATTGATGTCGGGGGCGCGGGGGTGATTTAGAATCTCACTCAAATGTGTAAGGGTTCGAATCTATTGTCCATGTACGGTCCCCGGCCGCATCTGCTCTGACCCGAGTTTTGGGCGCTCCGGACTGCGGTGGAAACCTCTAGTGAGGACAGGTGGCGAGGACGCAGGACCCTCGGAGGCCGAGGCGGGGACGTGTTGGGCGGCGGGCGACGAAATACCAAAGGCACCCCGAGAGGCTGGCCAGTGGGAACGGCAAAGGACGGGCCGCAGAAGCAAGGACACAAGGGTAGCCCCAAAAAGGTACGCGTCCTTACTATGCGCGTTGACTTGACTGTGACGTGTGTTGAATGTGCTGTAACGTCGGGTGCGCCTGATGACGGTTTTGCGTACCTGCTCGTGCGGCGTTGGCGTGCTCGTGCTCGAGCGTCGGCCATGTGATGGCATCTCGGACCGTTCGTGCCCATGTGAGACGGCCGCCCTTTCGTGACAGCGGGCGCTGGCGGATGAAGTCTGATCTGCCCTGGCTTGAAGGGCGGTGCGTCGTCGACAGATCATTACAACCATGCGGAACATGCGACGCTGTGGCCAACGTGAGTGCTACCGTCTGGTTTCCGCGAAAGTCCCCGGCTCTGCGCTGTCGAAGGTACTCCGCTGGTGAAAAGACAGAGTCGGTGTGCCAGCGGGCACTCCTTGCAGGGCAGCTCGTGCGCGCGAGAGGAAGAACGAGATCCATCACCGCTGTCAGTGATGATCGGAATGCCGAGGTTCTTGAGACTGCCCGCTGTGAGGACACGGAGGCGGAGGATAATAAGCACTAGGAGGCGGAACGCACGAAGAGGAGGGTGAAAACCAGGAGGACGAGGACGACGACGTGGCCGACCGCGACGACGACGCCGAAGACAACGGCGACGGCGATCTCGTCCGGGACGACGCGGCCGACCACGACGGCGACGGCGACCACGGCGACGGCGGCCTCCTCCGCGGCAGCGTCCGCGCGCGGCACGGGCTCCATCGCGCGGCGCGCGGGCGCGCCCGCGGGGAGGGGCGCGCCTTTGGCGCCTTATGGCGCCTTTGGCGCCCGCGGAGGGGAGCGCGCCGTCTGTGCCAGAGCGGCCACCGCGCGGGTGCGCGGCCAACTGGCGTCGCCGCAGCCACGAGCCGAGGCCTCTGTGATCGGTCCGGGGCCAACCCGAAAATCGACCGGCCTGGTGCGGAAGCCGGACCGACAAGCCCCGCGCCGCCGCGGAACCCACTGGCCAAGCTCGACAGGCTCCGTGTGCCGTTCCAGCGTGCTGCACCGGTGTATCGCCCCCAGACAGGAGCGGGCCGCGCGCGCGCAGGGAACGTGTAAGACGCTCTGGCACCACGGCCTGAGGAACAGGCGGCCGTCTCGATCCGAAGAGAGACGAAGGAGGAAGAATTCTGTGCGAAGGACGTCTGGGCCCCGGGTCCTCAAATCGATACTCGGACCCGTCCAGGGCTGCGCTCCCGCACGTCTTCCGAGAGGTGCCCAGCTGTCGCGGCGAGGGACCCCTTGGAGATTCCAAGAAGCACCTGCACGTCACGGAGAATTGGTCCATTCAATCTCTTCGTGACGAGGGATGCTGGGGCATCATTAGCACCATCATCGTCATCGCCATCGCCAATATCATCGCCGTCATTGATTGCCGCCTCCAGCGGCATCCTGATCCATTATCATCCAAACCATCCCTCGTCCTTTTCCGCATCACGTCCACCTTTTTGACGTTTCGCAAGCGTATACGGCGGAAGCCTGGAGATCTGTGTGCGGAAAACATGCAGCATGCCGACTCAGGGAACAAGCAAATCAATTAAGCATGGTGGGCGCAACGGAAGAAAGTGAGGCAAAGAGACGCGAAAAGAGTACAGGGCCGTAAGACCATAGAGTATGCGCCCGCCAGGCCGCATGGTGGAGTGGGGAACGACCGAACCATAAAACCTGAAACTGAATACCAGCATCACGTCCACCTCCCCACGCTCCAGCCGATAGACAATACATCGGAGGTTGGGGGGTGAGATCGAAGTGGAACGGAGAGCCCCCCACCGGGAAATCGGTTTCGGTTTCGTGTTCGTGTCGTGCGTGCGAGGCGAAGCTGCGTGCGCGGGAGAGAGAAATTAATCCTGCTGTCGCTAGTGGTTCGCCAACATAAATGTTTCCCCCGCCGGCGCGTGTCATGCGGTGGCCCGCATTGTCCCGTCGGTTGCCCACCGTTGTCCTGTCTGTCGCTAGTGGTTCGCCAACATAAATGTTTCCCCCGCCGGCGCGTGTCAAGCGGTGGCCCGCATTGTCCCGTCGGTTGCCCGCCGTTGTCCTGTCTGTCGCTAGTGGTTCGCCAACAAATGTTTCCCCCGCTGGCGCGTGTCAAGCGGTGGCCCGCATTGTCCCGTCGGTTGCCCGCCGTTGTCCTGTCTGTCGCTAATGGTTCGCCAACATAAATGTTTCCCCCGCCGGCGCGTGTCAAGCGGTGGCCCGCATTGTCCCGTCGGTTGCCCGCCGACGTCATCCACACCATCATCGGCCATCAGCACCACATTCACCACAGTTGTCGTCATGAGCCACCCCCCCTCCCACCCCCCCCAACAACCTCCTTATCACCCGCAGGGTGGTCGTATAAGTACGAACCCTTACACCTTCGAGGGGACTGATGAATCACCCCCCCACTCCTGACATCAATGTCGGTCTCAGTAATGGCGGTGCCTTGGGGGTTTGAATATTTCTGTCCACTCACGCCCCCCCCTTCGCCACGCCATCAATATTAATTTCGAGGGGTCGGGGGGGCATCTTCGGCCACAGGTTCCAATCTATTGTACATGTACGGTCCTCCTTCCACCGCCATCTCCTTCCACCACCATGTACTTCCCCTCCCCTCCCCTCCCCCCTCCCTCCTCCGCTTGTCTCCTTCCCTCCGCCTCCGCGAGCCACCTGCGATCTTGCGGTCCTGATCCGCAGGATCGCAGTCGCTCGCGAAGGCGGATGGAGGGAGGGAGGCGGAGGGAGGGAAGAGAGGGGAGGTAGCACGAAGCCAGGGCGAGGGTGAAATCAAGTGAGGATGAATCGAGAATCTCTGAGACTCGGCGAGTCTCGAGGATGTCTCGGGCGCCGCGGCCTTCTCAGAGCGTTCCGGAACGCTCTGAGAGCGTTCCTGAACGCCCTGGAAGGGATGCATCCTCGTCCTAGCCCCGTCCGAGGGGAAGCAAGGGCTCCCAACTTCGCGCTTCGCGCTGCGCGAAGCGCGAAGTGCGAATAACTTCGCGCTCTCGCGCCACCCCCCCAAAGGGAGAAAAGGAGGACAACGAGGAGGAGGAGAAGGAACGAGGACCGCGAAGCGCGAAGCGCGAATAACTTCGCGCCCTCGCGGGAGCCCTTGGGAAGGGAGGCCGCGGGAGCCTCTCTCCGCTTCCTGCGCCCGCCCACAGCATGAGCATACACTTTCCAAGGTCCGCGTGGATCTCTGGGGATCGGTGCTGGACACCCCCTTCATGGCGCGCCTTCCAAAATTGTTCGCGGATGGCCCCGCATCGCCGATGCATCGCTGATGCCTCGGTGATGCTTTGGCGACGTCGGCGACGCGTCGGCGCCATCGGCGTGTCGAAACTCGGACTCCACATCGAGCCGCATCGCCGAGGCATCGGCGATGCGGCACGCGTCTCCGACCACATTCACTCGGATCGCGTTTGAGCGACGACAAGAAGCGGCAAGCGAGCAAACACCATACCAAGCACGAAACGCACATGAGCACATAGCAGCTACCACGTGGTATCGCAATACTTGCTAACTGCGCCCCGCCACGCCGTGGCCGAAGAAAGGGTGTCCTGCCACAGCGCCGGACGGGCCTCCACCCCCCCGGCTGCTTCGCAGGCGTGCCTGTACACTGCCCAGGACCTGACAAAACATGATACAGTCGGGGCGTTGACCTAAGGAACCTCGAACAGGGAACGATGCCCCCTTTTTCCAAACCGTTCACTTCGACTCCCCATGGAAAACCGTAGGGAAACCTGAGGCAAATTGCACAACCATCAGGGAACACTGAGCCCCTCCCCAACGAAAAAGGGTTCCTTCTCTTCAGGGCCCCGGCTGTGTAGCGACCTCACGCCGCGGCGTGCGCGGGCCGCCGGCGCAGCACGCCCTGTTGGCAACGAGGGTGCTCGCGCGCGACCCTTCCCGGGAGACATCCTGCGCGCCGACGTCCGCGCAGTCGGCTCGGTGTCGTCCGTCGCGGCATTGCAAAAGGAGCACCGCACCGCAGAAGCAGACTCGTTCTCGGAGATCCGCGCGGGCCTCAGGACACAACCATCTGCGCAAGGTGTGGCTGCTCGAATTGGGCAGGCCTGGTAGGGCGACGCACTCCATGCACGGACGGTTTTTCCGGCCCTGCACTGGCACTTGCGCAAGGAAGCGGATCCTGGTGCATGCGGGATCTTGGTGTATGCAGTTTTGTTCCTTGTTCCCTGGGGGAGCGGACAACATGTGCTTCACACCACCCCGACGTCGTCTCCGACCCTCGAAACAATCCTGGGACTGAAAGCCAACTTCCGAACACGATCTGTGCTGATTTTTTGGGATACTCGAACTTGGGAGGCCTGGGCTTCCCCCCAGGAGAGCCCATAATCGAGTCGGCAAGTCGGATCGGCTATCGACATGAATCGGATCGCCATATATCGGCAGCCGTGTCCGGAAAAGTCGAACAGGCAGAAATCGGCAGGCTGGTACGCTTCCAATAAGAAATCGGAGCCCACATCGGAATCCCACGTCGGGCCGAATCGGAGTCGGAAGCAATCGACATCAAACCGGATCGAATCGGAAGAATCGAAACGAGCCTTGCCCACCCCGCGTGCCGCAGGCGACAGGCGAGAAGGCGCCCCCCCCGCCGCTCCCCACGGCGGCCGCCGCGAAGGGCTCGTGGCCGTGAGGTTCCCCGACAGGGGCTCGGTCCTTCGCGCAGAGGGAGGAGGAGGAGGAGGAGGAGGAGGAGGAGGAGGAGGAGGAGGAGGAGGAGGAGGAGGAGGAGGAGGAGGAGGAGGAGGAGGAGGAGGAGGAGGGGGAGGAGGAGGAGGAGGGAGGAGGAGGAGGAAAAGGAGGAGGAGGAGGAAGGAGGAGGATGACCAAGAGGAGGGGGGAGGAGGAGAGAGGAGGAGGGGGGAGGAGGAGGAGGAGGAGGAGGAGGAAGGAGGAGGAGGAGGAGGAGGAGGAGGCGGAGGAGGAGGGAGGAGGAGGAGGAGGAGGAGGAGGAGGAGGAGGAGGCGGAGGAGGAGGAGCAGCAGGAGGAGGAGGAGGAGGAGGAGGATGCGGAGGATGCGGAGGAGGGAGGAGGAGGAGGAGGAGGAGGAGGAGGAGGAGGGAGGAGGAGGAGGAGGAGGATTCCCCCCCCCCCCCCCGTGTGCATCATCAAGCCAAACTCTGCCAGCAGGTTGAAACTCGACGACGAACATAGATTTACTTAAAGCTCTAGGGCGCACTCGTCACCCCAAGAAGAGGCAGTCTGCTGAGGTGGCTTACCCTTGCGTGTTCGCTGGGGCGCCTGCAACTGCTTCGGGGAGGTTTTGTGCGGGCCCTCGAGGGCCACATGGCAACCTATCAAAAGGTTGCCTGGTCGCTGGGCGGCCCAGGACCCACACAGACCACAAAACACAAAGCGCCCTTTAAACCAGAGCTCGTGACTTGAATTCAATTGCTGCCCCCCTATAGTAGCAGGGTGGGCAACTCTCTGGGGCGGATCCTCCAAACCCAAACGACGCCATTCATCCACGGGGGCCTCGGGCTCCAAGGACGGGACAACCCTGGGGAGCGGGACGGGAGGCCTGGGAGCAAGGGCGGGGCAAGCCGACAAAACGGAGTCCCGGAAACCTCGCAACTTCTCTCGGGCATTGGGGCCGCATCCAGAGCACGTCCGAGAAGTGCCTGCGTCCATAAAAACCTGGTGAGACGAGGCTCGGATGAATTCAAGCCTGCGCTGCTTGGCCTTCTCTGTCTGGTCCACAATGCTCTTAACGACA